CCCAGAGGAAGACCCAGGACACGCTGGAGGGACTATGTTTCTCAGCTGGCCTGGGAACACCTTGGGATTCCCCTGGATGAGCTGACCCAAGTGGCTGGTGAGAGGGAAGRCTGAGTCTCTCTGCTTAGGCTGCTGCCCCCATGACCCGACCCCAGATAAGAGGCAGAAAATGGCCAGACGGACGGACAGAAAGACAGAAAAAGGACAGAGAAATAAAAAGGACAAATATATCTAAAAAGGACACATAGGAGACATAAAGAGTTCCAAAAAAGACAGAGAGACATAACACTGAGGCATAAAGGACACGAGACAAATATTTTGAAGGACTTAATCATTTCAAAATGTCTAAAAGTTGCAGGAAAACAATGTTCAGAATGATTTTTGTGAGAAGAATATTAACTTTCAWATTTTACTTTTCACTTTTAACATTTTCATACAACATTAAAAGATCTCGCAGTTTTCTTTATGTTTCTGTGCTGAACATCCATRATCTTAACCTGCCCCTTCCTTTCCGGGCTGATGTCCTGCGACTGATGTCCATGTCCATCAGTCACTGTGTGAGAGGACAGGTCTTCAGTCCAACACAGGGACACATAGAGACCAATGACAGAACTATTCTCACGCTCACCTCGTGAGAATAGAGTTACCAGTTAGTCTAACATGTTTGTTTTTAGTCAGTGGGAGGAAACCAGAGCTCCTGGAGAAAACCCACAGGTGCACYGGGAGAATGTGTGCACTGAGGCTAGGTCAGGTCCTGCATCCTTCTCACTGAGCGGCAGCAGCTCTACCAACTGAGCACTGAACATCACTGATGGAAACTAAGAATTTCTAATGACCCCTTAAACCCACCCTTCCGGTGGTGTCACCGGACCCACACACATTTGTTTTCCAAACAACTTGTCATTCTGCCCCCCATAGGAAAGAAAAAAAGAACCAAAGCCCCCGTTAGCAGCCTACAGAGAGCTGTATTTTTGTATTTTCGTTCACACCCGCCTTACTTTCTCTTTCAGCAGAGACCACATTGTTTCCTGTCGCAGTAGAAAACGTGTAAGATTAAACGGGGGCTGATTGCAGCTCAGGCACAGGTTGTTTGAAATGTCACACGACCTCCGACAAACACACACACACGCAGGAACAATGGTGTCAGTCCAAATATGAGTCAGCTTCGACACGCATGGTTTAAATAATGGACAGCTCTGTGTGAGGTGAGGGCGGCGAAGGAAACAAGCTTCCACTCAGTTGAACTTATTTTTCCAGCAGCGTTAGGGTWAAGCTATAATGACACGTTTACTGTTAATTTTCCCGTTTCTAATGTTCAAACTTCATGCAGAATTTCCCTCTTGTTTCGTTGCAGTTTCACTTGGTGTGTGGCAGCGTGTGACCGTGATGAAGGGTGACACTGTGACCTTGACCTGCCCCATTACCAACCCTCATAAGACCAGCGTCGAATGGAAAAACCCCGAGGGACAGATAATGTTCTTTAATAACAACAAAGGTAACTAGAAAAATTGCATTTCCTGCGAAAATGCTAGTGTGAATGTCTGTAGCTGAAAACTTTAGCTGAAAGCTGCTGAAGAAACTGAAATTGAGCTGAACATGTTGTTAAACATGAAAAGCAGAATGAAGCAAAAAAAGGCAGAAAAACAGTTAAAAGGTGCAAAAATATGGCTGAATTAGCATAAAAAGCTAAAAGCTAAAATAGCTGAACATAGCAGAATGCAAAAGAAGCATAAACAGCATAAAGTAGCAGAAAAATGTTTAAAAAGGCAGAAAAACACAGAAGAATTGCAGAAATAAGTAAAATTTTAGCTGATATAGCAGCAAAACGCTAAAGTTAGCATATATAAGCTAAAGGTAGCAGACTCAAGTTGAAAGTTGCACACAGATGGTGAAATGGATGTAACAAATTCAAAATTAACAGAAAATCATTAAACTAAAAAGTGATCATTTGAAGTAAAACAGGTAAAACAGCCGAAGTTTTTAGTAAAACAGCTAAAAAGTAGCTGGAAACATTTTAATTAGCATAAGGATGCATAAGGAGCACAAGATTGCTGAATTTAGCAGAATTCAGTTGAAATTGATCCAGAAAAATGTGCAATTAGCATAGAAAGCTAACAGTGGCTAATAATAGCTAAAATTTAGCTAAATTTGTAGCAAATAGCTGAATATAGAAGAAAGCAACTGTAAGAAGCATAAATAGCACAAATTAGCAGAAAAAGTATAACAAAAGCAGAAAAAAGAAGAATAGCAGAAAGAAATAATTTTAGCTGAAATAGCAGAAAAAACCTACAATTAGCAAAAAATTAGCTAAAATTTGCACAAGACAGTAAAAAAGAGCATAACCAGAACAAATTGTGTAAGGTTTTTTTAAAATATTTACAAACTATTTGAATGATTTTAAGGTCGTTGAAAATTGCCCCATTCAAAGTCAATGGGAGGAAAAAGTGGCTAAAAAGTTGAAATAGCTAAAAAAGTTTTAAAAAAATAGCTGAAATATCAAAAGTCATAGCCGGCATTGCACGAAAGAGCTGAACGTTTTGATATATGYATGGTTGAAGTAGCACAAAAATTGTGGAACGAGAAAGGTGATGCCTGCAGGCATTCACACCAAAATGATGTAACTTTGTGCGTCACTGACAGCAGGAGGATGTTGGGCAGAGTTAGTCTCGTACTGGACAGTGAAGCAGACCTGTTCACGTGTCAAATACAACTCAGAAAAATACAACTCAGACGAGTTCAGTGACTGTGAATATTTTAAAATAAATTTAGTTTAACACATATTTAAATWTGCTCAAAGTTCAAGCAGCAGGGTTGTGAGATTGTTTAACTCACACAAGGAAACTGGGAACCCCCGCTAACATTTTGAACTATTTRAGAGACTTTCTTACGAACGTCTCTGATCAATAGTCTCCAGCAGTGAGGCACCACCTTAAAAGAGACAATCTAGTTGTTTCTGAAGTTTTACTTTGGCCTTTACTCATCAGTCCCTCATTAAATGTAAAACTTCCTCCAGGCCAACTGTCAGCCAAACAAAGGCATTCTTTAAAGTTTTCAGGCTTGTCACACAAATCGCCACACACTATAGTGTGAAAAAAAATGCTACATTAGTTTATACTGAAGCTGTGCACCACGTGTCAAACTCAAGGCTCATGGGCCAAATAAGGCCTGCATTTTATATGTCCTACGAGAGCTACAAAGACGCATTAATGACTTAAACTAAGCTGCTCCAAAGCTGGTAAACTACATCTCCCATAATGCATGTTGATTYTTTTACCTACAAAATGATGACATCACACCCAGGCTTTCAAYCAAGAGTTGTTACGACTGTACTGGTCACCTGGAGGTGGAATAAACCGTTCCACCTGGCTTTGGTCTCAGATCACCTCCTTTAGATAAACAAAACTCTGTTTCATTTAAGCCACAATGTGTCTTCTCAAACATAAAGAGACATTTTCTTCTTCTTAATTAAGATAATAAACAAAGTAATAATGTTTTTTATAATTTTGATTTATATTTTCTTTTAACTAAAAGCTATTATCATTTTATAAACCAAGGTCACATAATGAAATGAAGGACAACCTATTTTCTTGCARTARAATTRAGAAAAAGAAAAACACTCAAAAAGAATATTGTTCCAATGTTTCTTTATTTGTTTATGCAAATAAGTGTTTTAATCAACTGTTAGTAAGGCGATTATGTGTTTAGATGTATTGATATGAAGCATTAAATATCTTTTTATTTGTTTCTAGCATTAAAAGATAAACGATYCAGCATCATCAAGCTGTCTCAGTCAGAATTCTCCGTCAGTATTTCCAACATGACCTTCAAAGATGGAGGCAACTACACCTGCTCACAGTWCAACCAGAAACCATTAGAGACCATGGTGGAGGTGACCGTGTTAGGTAAGTGAGTCAAACCTCTGCAACCACCAAAAATAACAAGCAAAACCTTTACCTGCGGTACAGATCACATGTGTGAGACACGTTTTATGAAGATGAATTAATGTTTGCACTGGTGTTGATCTGTTTAAAGGTTATCCCAAAATGTCGGTGACGAAACACGAAGGTAAAACTGTTATAAAATGCAGCGCTGATGGAAACCACTACCCACCACAAATCTCTTGGGAGTTTGATCTTGAACCTGAATTTCATGGTAAGTTTCCTAAAGTATCAAACAAGCTTTAGTGAAAAGTTGCATATAAATTTACAGTACAGWTTATATCCAGTTACAATAAGAAGTTTTTTATTCGTTCATTGTGGGAAGGATCTGGATGTCAGCTGTTTTTCTTTCACACAGTTGAATTTGTGTATTTTCTCTAATCCACACATTCAAAATGATAAACTCAAGGAGATATATTTAATTTAACTCTGTCTTTAACAAGGAAAGACTCCAGAGTGTATAAAACACAAAACAATAAAGTGAAAAGATAATAATATTTTTTAAAATGCCTGTAACCAGACACGCTACTTCAGAACATTTGAAGGCAGACTAGGATTACGTTTCCCATTTTCTAGTTCTGCCTGCTCTGACTTCTGTTCAGAAGAGCTGTTTATGTTAATGAGCTCTGTTGGTAACGCCCTCCAAAAATCTGTTGACATTAACTC